TCGGTAGCATTACCCACGGCAGTGGCAGCACTGCCCGCAGCTTCTAAAATCAGGGTTAAAATACTCTGGAGTAAGCCTTGAGTCTACTGACGTGCACTCTGTCACTGGACGATGCGGCAGGAGGGAGACGGAGGATTGGCCAGAGTAATTTTGTAGATTACGGGTATTGGGGGATGATGTGGTAGGGCCCTGTGTATCTAGATTGTAAGCAGCCAGTTTAAATGAGCAAAGGCGAAAGCTCCGGCATCGCCCCATATAAGTGGCACCTCTTTTTTCAAAAGTTCAGTAAGTGGTCGAGCTATGTGCGCTAAATTTTTCACAAAGCAGCAAAAGTACGAACATAATCCGATGAAGCTGTGTGTATCCTTAATGCACTTTGGAACAGGGAAATTTGTAACGGCGCACATTTGCCTGGGTCCGGCTGTACTCGATTGGTATGAAGGAGGTGACCAAGCACTGTAATCTGGCGCTGACTGAAGTGTCGAAAAACGTGCAGGATTGCAGATGCGCATTTAGATGAGTAGTGAAAGGGGGGGGAGAACACTACAACAGTCCAGATAGCATAGACATGTGGACCACTTGAATACTTGAAGCGGGAAGTTCATCATTTGTTCAAAAGTAGCTGGAGCATTACGTAGCCTGAATGGCATCGCCTTGAATTGGCAAAGACCATCAGGTGTCGTAAAGGCGGTTTTCTCATGGTTCAGATCGTCCACAGCGATTTTCCAATAGCCAGTGCACAAGTCAGTGAACAAAAATTAGATAATACACTTACCCAGAAGCTCCACCAAAATGTTAGGTGAAGAGATGCAGACCAGAGTTATTCAATCATACCACTTGGAAAACTACAATCCGAAACCTAGACATGCAATTGGCCCGATTTTTTTCGGGAGTTAGCAGACTGTCACGCCATCTGGAAGCAGCAACACAAAACACAAATAATGCGTTTAATAGTAGGTGTGCTGATCAACAGGTGGCATGACAATCTCCTCACTCCCAAGATCTGGGCCAATGTTGTGTACAGTCATGATGTGTCGAATTTCCATGCATGGAGCCTATGGGGAGCTTCGCACCTCATATGATTGAATAACTCTGATACAGACGAGAGGCTGTGGGCAAGTGCATTTACAAAACGGTTTACTTCATCCTAAAGCAGTGGCACAAATCGTCTTCAAATCGTCATCGTCTTCAATCTATTCATTTTATTATGACGGTCCGTAGCAATATTAAACATTCAACGCTAGAATGTTATCTAGTGAGGCGAGTCTAGCTGTGCTGTTTGAAGAATGAGAGTGTTAAATGGAATGTAATAGAGCTCAGCGAAGTTAGGAGGACACATGGGCTTGGTATATTGCTGAAGAACGGACCTGTCCTAGGCTACTGTGGCTTAGTTGATAGAACTAAGGGCGGGGTTTCTTATTCATCAGAATATTGCCACGTTCCATTTCCCAAGTTTTCGTTATCGTCCCAAAACACCACACGATTCTCAGCGCAAACCGCGCCTGCAGTTTTCCAGAAGGTTCCGGACTGTAGTAGATCATTTCGATAAGATCACGCCCACTGTGCGAACGGTACAGATTGTTCTGGAACCTACGCCACCGCCAGCGATAACGCTAGAACATTCGATGGCAAGAGTATAAATGCCGACGCGCTTCGCCACTTGTTAGTAGTTGTTCATCGAAGGCCGACGCTCTGTTCCCCGCTATCAGTCCGAGACTGCTATCTGTGCGAGACTGCTGCTGTAATTGGACTTTCCTTTTACCGGGCACAGGTTCGCCCAAATAAACAGTTAAATCCCAACACGAAGTCTCCTGTCTTCGGCCACGTCACGACCCCGTGACAATATACTTGGCAACATAGAGGACTACTCTAGCATGAGTGAGAGGGTGGGAAGTATGATAATGAAGCTTAATAAGAGGTAAAAGATTAAGGAGGTACAGCCCTGTGCGCCTACCAGCTACGATGACGTACAATCAGCAACGGGTAAGATAAAGACACATTATACCGTACTGATAAGCAACATTAATGTCAAAGTAGGCAAGAAGCCTCCAGTAGATGGTTTCTTGCTTACCTCTGCATTAATTTTGTCCATAGATTACAAGAGGGCATTTGATTCAGTCGAGATATCAGCATTTACACAGGCACTATAGAATCGGGGCATAGATGAAGCCTTTATAAACATACTGAAAGAAATCTAATGCGGCTCCACAGCCACCATAGTCCTCCATAAAGAAAGCGATGCAAGTCACTTTGATTGTATTTAATGTATAACATTCTTCAGCGAGGTCAAAATAAAAGCATAGTTTTTCTTGTGCATTGTACGTAGTGCAATTACTGTGGATATTATGGAGCCTTGCGTGCCACTAACACTCTCGAGCTCGAACAGGGAAGTGAAATGGTTAGAGCGATGAAACCTGCAGTTATGGCTACAATTCACGCATCTCTGCTAACTTCTGCTGAACTACTGGTGCCTTCTGAACAGCATTGTTGTTTGATGAAATTTAGCAATTTTGAAGTTGCTAAAAGCCTACATGTGTATTCTTTCTAATATTCATATTTTGATTGCGCTGATCTAACCTGCAACGTATGAGTGCAGTGAATGGGGCACAGCTAGAGTCCGAGCATGGGTGTGACACAAATGCTACTTAATGACATGTCAAATGCTTGTGTTTCGTTGAAGAAACAACTCTATGTTCCTGACCAGGCAAGTAATTATGATGGTGTAATATGTTTGCAAGCTATAACCACATTAAACATTCGGTCCCGTGTTGCAGCCGTGATGACGCTACTTGCTAGCGGCCTACTACTGCGGCAAATCTATTGGACAGGCTCGGTACATACGTCCTCGGAGTGCCATTCAATTCATACGTTAATGCTATAGTTAGTGCAGTTTTCTGTTGCACGCGCAGGATTTTGTAAACTGTCGTTCCATGCACGGTACAGTGTAGCCCATTTATAACGAACCTACTTACAGTGAAATAACGGTTATAACAAAGCGATATTGATCTCCCGTTTCTAATTTTGGCATTTTCAATGCCTTTTAAGTCCAGTTTTAACGAAGTATATAGACCTACCTCAGCGGAAATAGTGAAACATTTTTTTTTGAAAAAAATCAAAAAGTCATCAAACATTCTTTTGAGATTTCGTGCAAATAAAAACGGCTGAAAAACCACTAATTCTTGGCTTCCGGCAGTCTCCCCCAGCATCATTTGCCCTTTCGCTCGGCTCTTTGCGAGAGCTTGCTTCACCGCATCACACGGTCGCCCGGTGTCTGTCCTTTTTACCTGGCCGCAGGTAAAAAGTTACTGGTATCTTGTCGCCCGGTGTCTGTCCTTTTTACCTGGCCGCAGGTAAAAAGTTACTGGTATCTTATCTTTTTACACTGTGCACTTCATCCCCTGGCTTGCTTCACAAAAACGCTGCCCCACACTTTGCGCCCTTGGGCGACCGTTGGGGCCACGCCAGCCCAATTGTGCTTGTGATGCCATATCGTGGTGAAAAAGCGAAGTGCACTCATAAATTTCTTTTTGCACGGCGTGGCATCAGCAGAGACAGCTGTCTAAGCCTGTCATGCTTGTTAGTGTGGTTGGTGTGGTTCGCTTGCGCAAACAAAGCAGTACAGTTTGAACAGCAGAAGCACTTGTACGCTTGTTCAGCTCTGTCCTCTCGTGAAAAACTGGTCATCACAGGGCACTTGGACTTTCCCGCAGTAATAGCTTGGCCTGCCCTGTGCACAGACGAACTCTTTGACAATTTAGAGTCCAGTGATGCCTGGAACGTCGATCTCGTCTATGGCCAAACGAAAGAGGCTCTCTCTCAATGCGAAACACACCATTTTGGATGAAGTTCACCAGAAAAATGCTGCTTCTTCTTGACAACTGCACTGCACACCATGTCGGTGCACATCTAAGCGCTGTCGAAGTCCTTTTTCTGCCTCCCAACGCAACCGTTAAGGTAGAGTCGATGGACCAGAGAGTGATCTTAGAAAGTCCACTATCACCGCCGTGTCATCGACATCCAACAGTTGATAACTTAGCTGACGTGAAGGTGCCGCTGGTGAAGGCAATATTTTTCGTAAGTAGAGACTGGAGGAGCGTGAAGTCTAGGACGATCCTTCATTGCTTCCAAAAAGCGGGTTTCTCGCGGGGAAGCAGCGCTGCCGAAGAAGAAACAGCAGCAGCTGATGCTGCAGCTGTGACGAGCTTAAAGCAGCTTTGGGAGGTCGCTGGCAATGCAAGCTTAGTCCCAAGTGGGATGGAATATATGGACATCGCTCTCCGAGATGAAGACCTCGTCGCAACCGAGGAGCTCACCACTGACAAACTTGCCACTAGTGTCTCTGAAAAGGAAGCAATCGCCGACGGCAGTTCCTCCAACCCCGAAGGCGTCGACATGGCTGCAGCTCAGCCAGTGGCCTCGGGAGTAGCTCTCGCAGCTGTTGATGCACTGCGTATTTATTCGAGTTCGGAACTGGACGATTGCACTCTCATGAACAGTGTTGAGGCCAGGGTTCTAAATTGCGTGCTCTCGAAGTGTGTGTAGGGAACCCCCCGGCCACTTTTTCCAGTGAGTACAAATAAAATTTTCTACTTGGTTTGCTTGATGTCAGAAATTTTTTTTTAGAGTCTGGATATAGTGAAAAAGTGGTTATAGGGAAGTAATTTCAGATTCCAGCAAACATCATTATAACCGACTACACTGAAATGTAACCTTTCACACCACAACAAATAATCATGTGCTGAGCTTCTATGGTTTTGGACGATATCTTGGTCTCATATACATTTCAATGCAGCTCACGACTTTATTCTCTGAAAGCAGCACGGTCGATAGGTCCACCCCTTCTATCTGTTCCTATTCTAACAAACGGTTTGACCCTCCTCTGGGTGCCATCTTGAATTCTACAGCACGTCGCCTATAGTTCGTGTGCATTGAGATATTTTTGTTGGGCCTTCAATGGTGCCACTACTTTGGCTGCAGCCAGTGATCAATTTATGCAGGGCTGAATTCACAAGTCTGGACAGCTGCAGTCACGTGTGCTGGCTGGAGCCGCTTCAAGTGAGATTTGAAGACCTCCTTCTCCCACTGCCGAATCTGGAGTCTGTCTCTGTTGAGGCTGACCTACCATCGGACACTTACCGGGCTAGGATCTGGCATAGCCTGTGGGAACGGTATGCGGCATTTTGTTTGTTTGTTGTTTTTCACCGAAGCCTCACTTGTAGCAATGCATTGATGAACACCCTTTCTCATGGTTGTGCTATCAGGTTAATCAAAACATGAGGTGACTGTTCACAAGCTCTTTAAATTGAAAATTGGAGAGGGAGGGAAGGCTTGAATTCCACCAGAATTAAATAGTATTGCATATGAGTAAAATATTCAGAAAATGGGATAACTTGAAGTTGTACTCTTATACTTTGACCAGTCAATTTGTTATTTGAAGGCATCAAACTTTCATCAGTTTGGGTACATTTGGTCACACTTCGGTGAATTCGACTCATTTCCAGAATGTGACGAGCACGTTACACACACCAGCAAAAATAGTGAGGTGTTTGATCAAAATAAAGTCGTGTTGTCAGGATCGCCATAGTTATCAGCATGAATCGTACTGTAGCAATAGAAAAGCTACAATGCTTTGTGTTTACGTGCGCTTGCCACTTCATTGGTCATGTGCCTTCAAAACTGCCAAGAATCCATGATCGTTTTGACAGCAATGACTGATTTGTCAGCAATGGTTGTGGTAAACAATAGTTTTATTACACAATCTAGCACAAGCACAAGAATGACTGAAAGAGTCAAGGGAGGAGCCAACAAGTATAAGATGCGATGGCAGGCGGCTGTGGCCGCCTGCCATCGCAACTGTGTGGTTACCATTCACGATGGCATTGTTAGCTAGGTTTCATCCACAGCAACTGTGGTGAATGAAGAGTGAGAGTTTAATTCGGACCTGGTGTGCATAGACCATGCACATGCTTTCTCAGGTGTATCTCGTCAACTCATCTGGCTATGGTGTTTAATGCCACCCCCCTCCTGAATTTTAACGCAATATTGGTAAGCGCCCCAAGCAATATAGGGGTCGAAATCTTGTTTTGGTGTTGAAGTCGCAGGTCTTAAAGAAACTCATAGAAGTGAGAATGTGTCATAATAGAGGAGTGACATGTGTTTGATAATTCAGTGCAAGGAGTTACATTAACATGTTTAAATTGTGTAGCAAAAGCGTGGAATTGCACAAGATGTGAATTGCACTGCGAGTTAGTGATTTAAAAGCCAACCTAATGCAATGCACTCGGGCATAAGTGATCTTTGTCATCGGCCACAGCAGCAAAAAGCAGGCAGCATATTGCCTTAAGGCAATATGCTGTATGCCTTGGGTACTTTGTTAATTTGCAAAACAATAAATTATCGGGTAGTGGGCACATTGCAAACCCACTTGCAATGGCAAATGTTACCATGCACAGGCTTCTTTTTTTCCTCACAGCACAGTTGAGGTTTACATGGAGAAGGTAAGCGTGGCAAGCGAATAAGGCAATGCAGATGAAGCTGAGTTAAGCAGTTGAATTCCGCTCTTGAGATGAAGCTTTAGCACCGACACAAATATAATGGAAACTGTTGAGCGCAAGGAGTGATTCAAATATGGTCTATGGTGTATCATCTATCAGATATCATCACTGCATGGAAAGCAACTTGATGTATGTTAGCTCAGTAAGACGAAAAATTCTCTGATAGTGTTGGCCAATTCATGGCAGCACTCAGTAAAACAACTTCTTCCATAGTGTCTGTCGATTCATGGCAGTACCCATTTCTTTTTTTTATACTGTCATGTTATCTACACATGACACTATGAAAGACCAGATGGCGATGAAAATGGAAATAACAGCAAGAAAAAACTGCTAGACAAAACAGTCCTCATGCCAGCATTAACCTTTCTGGCAACACAGTGGGATGACTGGGCTGTTGCCAGCCAGCTTACTGGCCATTGGGAAAAAAGAGCCTGTGTCTAGTGTTCCATGCAGGCAAAGTGATAACAATTGCTAATGTTCTGGGCCGACAAAGCAGGTTACTGCTTGTAACATTCTGTCCAGATGCAATGGGGACAATGGCTATAGTCCTATCATACTGAATAAAAATTAAATATATACCATTACAACCACATTGGTGTTCTCACTTTTGATAAATCCACCTGTATAGAATCGTTGCTCATTCAAGTTTCCTATCATGCTGCCAAAAGTCTAGGCTGGTCGAGTGAGGATTTCTCGTTAGTTTACTTTTTTTTAGAAGTATTGCAATATATTGGTAACGCTGAATGTCCAGGATTGGTCTTGCACTGCGGCAGTAAGTACCACTAGTACTACTAAAAATCTGAATTGGCAACATGCTACTTAACTTCATTTTTCATTTAATTGCATGCATGCCTTCCTGCCCTATGAAAGTTCAGCCTTCTGCTGTACACGTTTTTTTTTCTTCAAATGCTTCTCGTGTGACCTTGGACAACTAGTTGAGAAATGGTAGTACGTGTATTTTCCACCTTTTCTTTTTTATTCTTTTAATTTTGTAAAATTTATAATTGATATAATTTGTGCACTTTTGTGGTAATGCTCACAGTCACCTACGTTGTCTTCCTGACACTGTCAGTGAAAAGTTTCTTTCTCTTGACTTCAGGCTCAGCAGCTCTCCTGAAGCACATATGTCGACCCTGCGACTAGGCCCAAGCCCTCCCAGTCAGCAGCTTTGGCTGCAATTATGTGAGGGTCTAGCACCCTTTGTGGTACATTGGCAGTCACGTGGACTGTTGGCAGGATTTGTGGCACCCAAGAAGATTCATATCTTGCTCACCTTGGAATCCCGTGGACCACACCTTGTTGCATCCTTGCTGGTTGAGGACTTGTCATTGCTGCCTAGGGTACAAGCATTTCTGCAGTCCTTGTGCATTCTTTCATAGCACTGCAGGGTTTCATGAATTGCCTGTACCATAAGACTGTTCACCATCACTGCTATTTAGTTACTTTCACTTTGAACATGCTTGTAGAAAGACTTTCAGAGCCAGGTGATGAGGGCAGATGACACAGGATGAAATATGTCTGTGCCTTTAGTGCTAGGGCCAGTATGCTTTCTGCAGGTGTCTATGAGCATACCCTACAAAGAATTTTACAGTTGATGTATTTTTTATATAAAATTCATTATGATGTCTGAATAGTGTATACCAGAACACAGCGAGCTCTGTGTGTGCTGCCATATTGAGAATTCTTGTTGCGCCGTCTGTTGCAAGCACGGCGAAGCAACACCCTGCACTGCCGCGCAAACAGACGCTCCGCAAATCGAACGCGAAATTTCACCACCCAAGTCCGGCTGTAAGCATGTTACGTGTTTTTCTTCTCCTGAAATATTGTGCTGTTTTCATGTGAAACGCCAAGGAGACCTTCCTCGACAGTCCAGAATGTCTACAGCACGTGCATTGTGGACTACGGAAGCAACTTCATCAGGTACTTACTATGGCGATAAAAAGAAGCACGAACAGTGGAGAGCATTGCTTTCAACTCGGTCAAAAGGCAGCATGCCTTGACTGTAACAAGGCAAAACTTGTGCTGTAAGCCAACGTCTCTGTAGAGTTATAGGATCCTCTTCTGACTTGCGCTCATGCACTGCATATGCTTATCTTTGGCCAGTCATGCCTTGCTTGCAGGACACACACAAGTGGTGTGAAAGTGTCAGCCAGAGCAAGACTTACGGGGCTGCAGTGAGGCCGACTGAAAGCAGATTTGCCTAGCGACAGTCAAGGCATGCCACACCGCAGTTCGACTGAGTTGAAAGACACATTTTTCCCTGCAGTGTTGACATTTCTTTGTTGTGCTTACACGCATGCGTTAGTCTTAAAATATTATGTTATTGTCATGCGGCCTGGGAAAGAGTACGGCAACGAATATGTGCCACTTACTACACGTGTACTGCTCACCATTTAATCACTGCTGTAGAGCAAACCAGATTGTGTGGTGCTTGAATAAACGCACTAGGTGTACTTATTCGTTTACTAGGCTCGTATTTTTTTGTTGATTGCAATTATTCACTGGCGGCGGAGCTCAGCATTTTTCGTTGCGGATGTAAATCTGTGCAATCGGAAAACACTGTGCCGGCACGATTGGTGCTTCGTGGTGCGATATTTACAGAGAACGCCAAGTAATGTCTTCCTCTTGCGCTAATTGTTTTCACATCCAAAGGTGGCGAGAGGTGCCCAGATGACTTATTTTGAACGAAAGCAGCTTGAATAGACGCTTTCTCATATTTTTTTGCCCCGCCGCGGTGGTCTAGTGGCTAAGGTACTCGGCTGCTGACCCGCAAGTCGCGGGATCAAATCCCGGCTGTGGCGGCTGCATTTCCGATGGAGGCGGAAATGTTGTAGGCCCGTGTGCTCAGATTTGGGCGCACGTTAATAGTGCATTCAGACGACGGACCGAATCTGGATTTGTTTTGGACGCGGACTGCTAATCCGCGGATGGTCCGCCTGCAGGCGCATCCACACGACGGACGGTGTCCTAGGGGAAAACAGCCGGATTACCCTCGACAGCAGATTCGGCGCTCACCTGCGCCCGCTGGCAGCAGACCGGTTTGAGAGTATTCAACATGGATGCCCGCAAGAAGTGAAGCTTGGCTGCGATGTCTGTCGTGTTGTGACAAATGAACGAGTAGTGCTATTCTTTCAGGAAAAAAGGGAGTTGCTAGCAGGATATTCTTTCAACTACATTATTCCCCGCTTGTAGAACTTCTAAACGTGTCTCCCGCCTTTTTTTTTTTTTTTAGAAGCGGCACGTCGCCGGTTGCAGAAGTTGGAATATTTCACCACCATGACGGCTAAGAATCGCGCGTGTTAAGCGACGGCGGCGACATTTCCCGAACCACCAAAAGTGATTACTGCATATTTAATCACCTGAGAACAAAGTCTCCGGATACTAAGTAAACAATGCTCAAGCGTAGATGATGCCGACCAGTCATGCAGCTGTCCGCGTGCCATGGAGGACATGCCGCGAGCAGACGAAAAGTGTACTGGTTGCCACCGACCCCAAGCTATTCCGCTGAAGTACCGGCTCTCCCCCGCCAGAATCCCGATGTGAGAAAAAGGTTGGGTTCATCCGTCCGCGAGCCGCGCGGACGAGTCGCGGACAAGGGGAATCGCTGATGTGAGGTCACGTGACGCGCCGTCCGTCCCGCCACATCGGGATTCGATCCGTCGTCTGAATGCACCATAAAGAACCCCAGGTGGTCAAAATTTCCGGAGCCCTCCACTACGGCGTCTCTCATAAACATATGGTGGTTTTGGGACGTTAAACCCCACATATCTATCTAGCTTTCTCGTATTTTAAGTCGCAGAGACGAAGCTTGCCATGGTAACATTGTTTGGTTGGTCATCATCATCAGCCTTACTACACCCGCTGCAGGGCAAAGGCATCTCCCATGATCTGCCAAGCAACCCAGTGTTGTGCTTTCCGTTGCCATGTTATACCTGCGAACTTTGTAATCTCGTCAGCCCACCTAACTTTCCGTCTCCCTTTCGTGCATTCGCCTTTTCTGGGAATCCAGTCAGTTACCCTTAATGACCAGCGGTTGTCCTGCCTATGTGCTGCGTGCCAGGCCTATGTCCATTTCTTCTTGATTTCAACTATGATATCCTTTAGCCTGGTTCGTCCCCTGACCCACTCTGCCCTCTTCTTGTCTCTTAAAGGGACACTAAAGTCAACTATTAAGCGGATGTTGATTGTTGAAATGGTAGTCCAGAAACATCGTAGTGTTGTTTTTGTGCCAAGGAAGGGCATATTTTGAAATAAAATCGCGTTTTAGTGATCCACATTGGGTTAGCACGCTTCAAATTACCCGCCTCAAGAAGCAGACTGACCGGTCCTTCTCACGTCACTGTTGCCGTGCACAACGTTTCCCGGCATTACTGCGCCAGTAGCAGCACACCGAAAGCAGTGAGAACCACAGCAGCAAAAACTTCCATTGATCAATTTCCCTCCATTGGCTCTAAGATTGCAGACGCTTTTGTTTCAGCTGCGCCCCGCTAGATGGCATCACATGTCCCGTGTAACTACTTGAAAATGGAATTTGTGAACAACTCGCGCAATTCGCCATAGTAACGTCCGGCGGGTTTTTTTTTTTTTTTCATGAATCAAACAGAAACGAACAAGCAGTATTTTATTGCGTCTCTTGATCCACGGAAAGTTCGTTATTTAGTGCAGTTAGATCGATTACTAGTGATTAATTGTAGGCGGTCCGACTGGTGTCATCGGGATCATTTTGAAAATGTCCTACGGCGGCGCTTGTGTTCTTGTGCATTTACTTTGATTTCTCGGTAAGTAGGGCAGTGTTGTTGATAATATTGTCGTCTTAATGTATGATAATATTGATAATATCATACATTAAGCTTTCACTCTGACGTAAATTGTTATTTGACTTTAGTGTCCCTTTAAGGTTACATCTATCATTTTCCTTTCCATCGCACGCTGCGTCATCCTCAATTTAAGCTGAGCCTTCTTTGTAAGCCTCCATGTTTCTGCAACGTAGGTAAGTACTGGCAAGATGCAGCTATTATACATCTTCCTCTTGAGGGTTAGTGGCAGATTACTATTCATAATGTGAGAATGCTTGCCGAATGTGATCCACCCCTGCCCCTCCGCATGTATTCATCCGCGCCATGTCGTTCGCTCACCGTCTTCATGGCGTCTGTTCGTCGAATTGTTTATACACACTCATTGCAGATAAGGCTGGTTTATTAACTTGAAGATAGAGTAAAACTGCAAAACAAGCAGTCACACCAGGAACTTCGAGCGTGGATTTGTTGCTCTGCTGTGGATAACTTCACCTTGTGGCTGTTTTTCTCCAACGATGTTCCTGGCTGCCTCTCTGTCTATGCGTTCTTTCGCGTCTCTCGCTGCAATGCTCCTTTTTCTATTTTTTGTTTCCATTGAAGGAGGATCTGATGTGCACGAAGTGATGTGCCATGTTGCATGTCTGTTGGAGCTGCAGCGTTCTCGGTTTGGCGACGCAGCCCAAGCACTGCCTCGGCGCGTTAGTCTTAGCAGGTGCGGCTAAGCAAGCAGCACGTCTCGCTAATAACAGCCAAACTTGATTGATATGTGGGGTTTAACGTCCCAAAACCACTATATGATTATGAGAGACGCCGTAGTGGAGGGCTCCGGAAATTTAGACCACCTGGGGTTCTTTAACGTGCACCCAAATCTGAGCACACGGGCCTACAACATTTCCGCCTCCATCGGAAATGCAGCCGCCGCAGCCGGGATTCGAACCCGCGCCCTGCGGGTCAGCAGCCGAGTACCTTAGCCACTAGACCACCGCGGCGGGGCAATAACGACCAAACTTACCTGGTGTTTTATCCTCAGAGTAAGATGAAACAAATCGATGGCGGATTTCACGATTCATTCGTTGCTGTCAACGCAGTGGGCGTGTAGCAAAGCAAGTTCGGATCGAAGCGGGCGGTCGCTTCTGCGTGGGCGCTGCCATGTTGAATTGTAAAAGCAGTTACCTCAGGTAAGTGACAAAAGTAACTTCATGCGTACGAACTAAATGCGAAGAATAAACTAATCACATATCGATGGGATGTAGCACACCAAAGAAACGCAAACTTTAGTCAACCCGGTGAATTTTATATCTCGAACAATGTTTTCCTGCGCAAGTGCGTGCCCTTCTTAGACCCCATAACTTTGGTAGTTCCGAACAGAAGTGGTGTTTTGGAAGGAGCCAGTAGCTGCTGCGGATGAGGGAGAATGATGTGAACGCGCAGTTGCGTCGTTATCTACTTGGCATCGTTCCAACAACTGCGGGGGGGGGGGGGGGGGACGCGGTGCGACGCATCGGCACGGAGACACGGGCGGACAGCGTTACACAGGCTAGTCAAAATAGCTGCTTCGCATAAAAAAGGTAAAAATGCACGACAAACAACCGATAGCTCACGTGCCGTGCCATACAATACTCATCCATTATTATCAATCACATAATTCAAAAAACTAAGTTATTTCCACGCGTGCGCGATAGATGATGTGCTTGCACAATCAGTCATCACGCGTCATTTATGCTGCTTCCTCAATCAAACGGGTTAATAAATCTCTGTCACGATATGAAATGCATGTGTTGTCAAAATATGGCACTCAACTCCACTCATAACCGAGGATAGCCAAGTGTCCATCGGTAGCCTTTTGCACTTCATTGCGATGTTGTTTTACCCTCTCATTAATTTATCTTTCAGTCTGTCCAACGTAAGCGCAGCCGCAGGCTATGCGGGCTAGTTGGTATCGTCCATTTGCATCCATATTTGTAGCGAAAAACGGAAAGGAACGGAGACACACACACAGAAGTAACACATAAACAGAACGGGCGCTAGACATCAAGTGATTTTTTTTATTTAAAAGGCCAAAAAACCGTCGGACATTAGCGCATTCGCACAATCGCACTGTGAGGTGCTTTTTCATGTTTGTCACGTCACGCGAGCGCAAAATCCCGCTGCGGCGCGGACCAAATAGTCACGTGATTAGTTTAAACCGGCGCAGCAGCGGAGACATCGCATGCACACCGCCGGAGCTACGCTCGCGGAATCCTCGTGCATTCTCTCGACTTCTATGCTTATGCAGCGCGCTTATGTGACGCTTTCCGCGGTATTAGAGTGCCGGGCATGCCTGGTTCAAGAGTGCATTCCAAAATGGATGACCGCTCGAAACGACGTTTGTGCGCGTTGGCTGTTCTACTTGATGTGAGTGAAGACGACGAGATGCAGGTTGAAAAAAGCAAACGACAGTTGCGGACGAAGCTATCGATATCCACGAGACGTTTGTTCAGAGTTAATTTACTTTATGAAGAGCTACTCGAGTGCTCAGAGTTCCTCACCGCACTCATGTTTGTGGTCACGCGGCCACTGACACATTTTCCCTCATTCTCGCTGATAGCAAACGATCTCTCGCGTTGCCTTATCCTTGCTTTTTCCAAACAAGGAGCCGCAGGACAAAGGCACCCTAAAAACAATGAACTG